AACCTTCCCTTTTTTTTCCTAAAACCACCTTTCCACCACAAACGTTCAGATCTTTCTTCCCATACCCCACTCCACCCACCACTTTTAATATTCCCAATCCCAAAACTTTCACCTTTATTTTCCGAGTACTTTTCCAACCAAAAAAAAAAAAATCCTTCCGCCCTTTTGTATCACACCCCCCTCGCCCTTCCCCCCCCCCCACCCCCATTATCCCCCCATTTTTTGCCCCCTTTCCCGGATCCAGAAGCTCCCAAACCTCCCCCTTCAAAACCCAGCGAACCAGCATCCCCCCCCCCCCCCCCCCCCGGCCCAGACCGTATCTGCGCCGCCCTCCCCACCAACCACCCCGCCCTATCCCAGATGTCCCTCTGCGAACGGACCAGCTTCATGATACACGCCACTCTTGGAATCCCCGTCGTCCCCGTCGTCCCCGTCGTCCCCCTTGGCCGGACCACACTCGTGGGTAGACTCAGACAAAAGTTCAACAGCACACCAACGGAACAGGACAAGACGAACGGAGAGCGGATGATGCCATACGCCCTCTTCCTAGCGACCCCTCAAGAGAGACAAAAAGACAATTGGAAGCAGTGCTTGTACAGGTCGCATCGTGCCGAGCAGGGTTATAAAGAAAAGTCGGCGCAAGAGTCGAAAAAGAACGAAGAGGAGCGGATGGAGTGCTTCAGGAAACAGGCCGAGCTGGAGGGGGAGAGAAGACAACAAGCGGAAGAAAATGTCGGGACTAGCGGTGGCAGCAGTAGCAGCAGTGGTAGCAGGGAGGTTGCCCGGGCTCGAAGTGGCGGAGGCTTTCAGGGGTCGTCTGGTCTTGCGATTTTTGGTTCTTGTCGAAAGGGCAGGACGCCAGGCCACGAATGGAAGGAAATACAGGTCCTGTTAGATCGTATTCCATGTCAATCATTTTCTTTCGTCGCACAAGTATGGTAGTCAAATATTAGGTACTGTCTTCGCTCTATTGGCCAAGCCATCTATTTGTCTATCCATCAGTCATCATGGTATCATCCCCACCTCCATATGCTCATGCGCGAACGCTTATAAACACCACATCTAGGCAGTGAAAGCCTTGATCTCGCCCTCCTTGATCTTGCCAGCACCGATGAGCCTCTCGGCCTCGGCCTTCCAGACACTCTTGATCTCATCAGCAACCTTCAGGCCGTTGAGCTTGCTAGCAAGAGCGGCAATCTCCTCAGGCTCAATCTTGCCCTGGATGAGCTCGACGTCACCGAGGACGGCATCGATAGTGGCAGGAGAAGCATCACCCTCGGCAAAGTAGTTGGCGTCCTTGACTGAGCCACGGAGAACGCGCTTGTTCTTCTTGACGGCGTTCTTGGCCGCTTCCTTGGCCTTCTTGTTGGCCTCACGGTCAGCCTTGGCTTTCTCCTCGGCCTCCTTAGCCGCCTTCTCAGCAGCCTCCTTGGCAGCCTTAGCATCCTCAGCAGCCTTCTTCTCAGCAGCCTCCCTCTCGAGACGCTTCTTGTTCTTGGCGGCATTGGCCTCCTGGCGGAAACGCTTGATGCGCTCGTCACCAGCAGAGCAGTCGTCGAGAAGCTTGCGGAGACGGGCGTTGTCCTCAGCCTTCTTCTTCTTGCGGGCGTTGGCGTTCTTGCGCTCGGTGTGGCGCTTTTGGTCACGGTTTTCGTTGTCATCGGGAACATCCTCGTCGAGGTACTCGAACGACCTCCAGGAGTCGAAGCTGTACCAGAAGTTGTAGAAGTTCTCGACCTCTTCCCTGGTGGACTTGTCGTCACCAAGCATGGGAACGGGGTGGATCTTGCTGAAGCGGGCCTCAGACTTGAAGACGTTGCCCCAGAGCTTGTAGAAGTTGCCCTTCTGCAGCTGCTTCTTGGTGGGGGGCTCGACATCGGCCTCCTCGTCGACGGAGTCGAACTGGCGGCGCTTGATGGGGTCGAGAAGAACCTCGGTGGCCTTCTGGATGCACTTGAAGAAGTTGTCGTCGTCGGTGCGACCGGCGGCGGCCTTCTTATCGGGGTGGTGCTTGAGGACCTTCTTGCGGTGGGCACGCTTGATCTGCTCCTCGGTAGCCTTCCAGCGGTACTTGGAGAGACCGAGAACCTTGTAGTGGTCTTGTTGCTATGTTGGAGAAAAATCGGGTTAGTGCCATTCTATTTTGACCACAGACAAGTGAACCACCAACCTTCCAGTCCTTGGCATCGCGGGCGAGCATCATAGGATCCTCGGGCTCGCTGATCTCGCTGTCCTCATCGTTCTCGACCTTCTTGGCCCTTTCTTGAGCCTGGATGCGGTCATCCTCGGAGAAGGTGCGCTTGTGGCGGGCACGGCGGGCATGGGCCAGGAAGTAGGGACCGACGGGCTCGAGGGTGCGCTGGGTGGCACCGCTGAGCTTGCCGACGGTCTTGATGTCCTTCTCGGCAGTCCAGCCCTCAGGGAGGGCGAGGAGAGGGGTTGGTACAACGATGGGAGTGGCCATTTTTGCGGTGTTTGGTTCTGCAAAAGCGACAGGCTGTTGGAGAGATCCAAAGTTGACTTGGGGTGGAGGGGCACTTTTTTTTTGGTGAACTTCTGGATTTTTTTTGGGCCGTTCACTTTGAAGACCCACCTTAAGTTCTGTGTGGCCAATCATATGCACTGGAAATGCAGGTCCACATCCCCATCAACCTCGTTGTTCCAGGCCATTCGGGTGTTTCCAATGGGCAGGCAATGTTGAAGCAGTTCTTGAACTTTTCGAACTGTTCCTCTTGTCCGAGTTGAGCAGCAACTGTCCTATATCACAATGGCCGCCATCCAGTCCTACAGAAACCTCTTGCGCGCCGCGAGGATTGCCTTTGAAGGTATGTCATGTCCATGGGTTTTTTGTACATGTGCGCCTAGCTAACAAGTCTATTTGTCAGGCGATACTCGAATGCTTACCGGTGCCCGCGAGTCGATTCGTAATGCCTTCCGGGACAAGGCCACCCTCCCTCCCTCGGACCCCTCGATCGAACCCGCTCTGAAGCATGCCGACGAGGTTGCCGCTTTCTTGAAGGCCAACGTTGTACAGGGTATCAAGCAGGAGGATAACACATACAGTAAATGCCTTTGCGACAACCCTCAAGTAAAAGAGTGGCGCTAACCACACCACATAGAGCTCCGGATTCACGAACACACTGAAAGAGGCGACAACGAGTCTATCAAGTTTGCAAACAAGAACCCAAGGGTTGGGGTCAAGTGCTGCTCTGAGATGTAGTGGAGGTTGATGTGTGGACAGGAACAAATGCGCAAAGATGTCGGCGTATTGGCGATTTTGTTTCGCCTTGTATTGAATAGCCGTCTATGATACCCCTCAGTGTACAACAACGTAACAATAGTATAACATGACATGATGCAGATGCAGTGGTGTATCTCCCGTACCCTAAACTATCCCGTGGCAATGATAGCCTCCCAAACGCCTTGCCGAAATCAGAAACACAAAAGACTTTTCCTCCCTAGTTACCAGCGAGACTAGCATATTGAACGTCATCCTGTCCTGGAGGTGGCGCAACAAGCAGTCCACCCTGGTCTTGACCATGAGCAGAGGAACCCTGCTCTTGACCACTTCCTCCTTCAATGGCTTTCGGGTTGGCCTTCCTCTTGGCCTCAGGGAAGGCAGATCGCCCATCGCGCAGCATCTGTCCACGCTCCTCCCTGTTCATATTTCCAATAGCCTTCGGGACGCTCCATCGGATTCGAAGAGGACAGCCGGCAATCACCGCGCGCCCCTTGCACTCAGCCGCTGCTTGCTCGGCTCCTTCGCGAGACTCGTAGTTGACAAAAGCGCAGTGGGTCATATGCGACACCACCAGGGATTTGATCTTTCCGAAGGACTTAAAAAAGTCCCGAATCTTATATTCGGGAAGGTCGTCCTCAATACCGGTTACGAAGAGCGACATGATGGTCGGATCCGAAGGTGGCATCCAGTCCTTGGGCCCAGGTGGAGGGGTATTCGCAGGGATTGGTCCCCTCTTCCCACCTCCTGGTCTCGCTCCCAGGGCAGCTGCCGCTCTTGAATCTCGTGTTCGGATCGGTCCAGCACCGCCAAGCCCGGCTCCAACGGCCGGATTTCCACCCGTCGCGCTCCCGCTCCCCGAAGGCCCCCCGGACACTGCGTTGCCCTCCGAATCCAACTCTTTCCCTTTCCTGAAGTAGGGCTTGCTCTGTGCCAGCCTCCTCAGCAGCTCTCTCGCTTTCTCATCGGTCTTCTCGTATGCCTCGATCCCTGCTCTCCCTTCCTGGATGGCCTGCTCGTTGTTTTGCGCAAAATATTCCCTGTTGATCTCGCTCTGGGGCCCCGGCGCGATGAGCTCGAGCGCCTTATCTCTGATGACGATAGGTAGGCCGAACTGTAAGTCCATGATGCAGCATTGGCAGGCGTTTTTGAGGCGGGCGCACGTCAGGCAGATATTGGTGCGCTTCTTGCGACCGTGGGCGCGGCCCTCGCCGGACCAGCTGAAGACGGTGAACGGTCTCGTACAGAGTTTGCATTCGGCGCCGTAGTCTTCTTTGAGCATCTTTACGTAGGGATTTGTAGGCAGGCAGTTTTCGCACACGGAGGGGAAGTCGGTGGACTCCCAACCAGAACGGTTCAGGTCTTGTTTGATTTGTGGTGGCATCTTGATCGGTCTCTTGCCGCTGTCGCACGTGTCGAGTGGTGTATTTTCACTGTATTTCGCAATGAGTATCGGGTATGGGGTATCGCGATGGCAAAGGGTGGAGAGTGAAAGGAGGTCGATGATAAATCTGCGCGACGTGGGGTGATGTGATGTTGCAGCAAAAACGCAAGCGATGACAAGGCTGATGAATAGACGTGATGTCGGGTTGTGGCTGGAAATTTGGCAGGGGTTCTGAGAATGCCGATAAAAGTCTTATCGGTGGCCACACATTGCGACAAGCTGTGGCTGAGGGCCGTGATCAAAGCTTTCTAACAGTTTCTTGGCAGCGTATTCGTATTCGCAAAACTCGCGAACCTCGACATCGCATGATGCACATTTCGCACTTCAATGTTCAATATCAACAAAGTATCTCGATAAACAAGATAACATGCTCTGGATGTTTCTTCTCACTCCCTTGCAGAACTTCGAAGCCTGTCGAAGCGAGGAAGATGTTCTAGGAAGCACGTCAATGCTTTACCGCTTCTTGTGATACCTCTACCAACTGACAGCAACCGTTGCTAGGCGAGAGCCATACCGCCTCCAGCTGCATACCGCATAGCATAGCTGTCAGTCAAGACACCAATGCGTATTCGCTGGCCACGCATTGCTAGTCTGATATGTCAATATGTCCACCAGAAGTTCCAAACTCCACAGAATTATCATAGTCGCTGTTGTATGCCTTTACACCCGAGTACGGGTGCGAATAAGGGGGTCGAGTTTCCTGAGCACATGTAATTGATCAGAGGGTTGTTGTGCTTGGCTCACAGCAGAACAACTTCCAAATTGTTGCCGTATTCGGCATTAGTGCATCCATTGACCAATGATATGGCGTTTTCGAGTTCTCCCGCTGCTTGTTCCTGGATCCGATGGATCTTGCTGTGGGGCTTCAGTGGCAGCTACCGCCCCTCCAGCGCGCCGGGAGATTGCTGGCCTGTCGACCCCATGTGCTCTTTTCAATAAGGGGCCGTGAAACTTTTTCCCTACATAAATTAGAGGCCTGCCCACCGCTACATCATCCCGTTGTCCCTGTCTCTGCGCATCTTCCTTCTCCCTGTCTGCTTCTTCCAACAGTACTCGGTTTAATTATTCTATTCACTCCCTTCTAATTCAACATTCAACATGGTTTCCGCCAACCAAATCGCCCTCGAGAAGGAGGACCACAAGCGCGATGCCGAGTTCATGAAGGCCATGCACGGCAAGTCCACCGAGGCCAAGGGTGGTTTCGCTGCCATGCTTTCCAAGGACACCGAGGCCAACAAGGTCGCCGTTGACGAGTACTTCAAGCATTTCGACAACAAGACCGCCGAGAACGAGACCGATGCCGACAGAGAGGTGGGTCCCATCAGCTGTTCACCTTGCGCTCCAGACGCGTACTGACCATACCCCTATCCAGGCCCGCACCAAGGAGTACGCGACTCTGACCAGACACTACTACAACCTGGCCACCGATTTGTATGAGTATGGCTGGGGCCAGTCCTTCCACTTCTGCCGCTACTCTCTCGGCGAGAGCTTCTACCAGGCCATTGCTCGTCACGAGCACTACCTCGCCATGAAGATCGGCATCCAGGCCGGTGACAAGGTTCTGGATGTTGGTTGCGGTATTGGTGGTCCCGCCAGAGAGATCGCCAAGTTCACCGACTGCCACATCACCGGTCTCAACAACAACGACTACCAGATTGAGCGCGCCACCCGGTACGCCGTCAAGGAGGGTCTCTCTGGCCAGCTCAAATATGTCAAGGGTGATTTCATGGTACGTCAAGGCTCCGGAGTCGCGTTTACCTGGCAACGGTGCTAACTCGTATCAGCAAATGTCTTTCCCTGACAACTCCTTCGATGCCGTTTACGCCATCGAGGCCACCGTCCACGCCCCCAAGCTTGTTGGCGTCTATAGCGAAATCTACAGAGTGCTCAAGCCCGGCGGCAAGTTCGGTGTGTACGAGTGGTTGATGACCGACAAGTACGACAACAACAACCTCGAGCACAGGGATATCCGTCTCGCCATCGAGGAGGGTGACGGTATCTCCAACATGGTCACCATCTCCGAGGGTATCCAGGCCATGAAGGATGCTGGCTTCAACCTCCTCCACCACGAGGATCTTGCCAAGCGTGACGACCCTATCCCATGGTACTGGGGTATTGCTGGTGAGACCAAGTACATGCAGTCGTACTTTGATCTCTTCACCGTCCTCCGCATGACCAAGGCCGGTCGCCGTGCCGTGCACGTCTTCACCGGCTTCTTGGAGATGGTCGGTCTTGCGCCCAAGGGTACCAAGAAGACGGCCGATGCCCTCGCCAAGGGTGCGGATGGTCTCGTCGCCGGTGCCAAGAAGGACCTCTTCACCCCAATGTACCTCATGATCGGCCAGAAGCCCCTCAACTAAAAAGATACCCTCGCATGAAGATCTCGACACACGACTGGATGACCTAGGGCCGCGTAATGATGCGGATGAAAAGGATGGGAAACGGCCCTCTGGATTGGAGATATAGAAAATCTGTAATTGCTTATAATAGTCACCGAGTATGGGAGGTTGTCATCTAGGGTTCTGACAGCACCCGGCTTGGCTCGGCATTCGTTGTATATATAATACCATTTGATTTGTTTGAACCCAAGCCACCTTCGTCCTTTGCATCTTGTACTTTTGACTTGTCAGCATTTTCTCGGTCGAACTTTGCATCGAAGCTCTCCGTTGCGGGTCCTGCGGTCACTGCATTTCAGATCTGGGTACCCAATCCCACGCTGCTTGGCCGGTCGCTGTAACACCCAGGTAAGCCCCGAAAAAAAAAGGATATCGCGGCGGGCGTGAATGCACACCGGATGCCCGGGAGGGAGGACTCCGGTGTCGTTCCCAACGTTACCGAACCGCTCCGCATCAATGCAAATACCAACATGTCAGTATTCCCAATTTATATGTGCTTTCGGAGTTATCAATCTCATCATGATAAGTGTTTGAACACCCCACTGGGCATCAGCTTCTGTGGACCCCTGGGAGCTGTCAAGTGGAAGGTTTGGCGTGGGTTTGGCCGGCCAAGCTCCCGAGCGCGGACCAGAACAGGGACAGGGATTCAGCTCACTAAGCCGATCCTGAGCTAGCGCGTAATTTGTCGTTGGGGTTCAACGCTCCAGAGTCCGACTGAGCTGTCCCAAGCTTCCATCGATTAGGTGAAAGGACAAAAAAATTCCCTCTGGCGCTGACCTTCACTTCACCTCTTGCATCACCACTTTTCCCTCCTCCTCCGGACCTCGCGGATCTTGCACTCGTTTGTGCCTCAACCTCTTCCGAGCGGGCCCTTCGACATCGAGCGAGCTCAGCACTCAAAGCCCGCCCTCCCCTCCTGCGACTTAGTGCCCCTGTGGATTCTCTTTTTTTCCCCATCAAAAAATAAGTCATGTCGCGTTATCTCCGACCAGCGGCTCGCCTTGCTGCCACGGCGAGGACCTCCGCCCTCCGTCCGGCCACCGCATCGCCATTCCTCTCCAGGGCCGCCGTCATCCCCGGCGTACAAAGACGGACATATGCCGACGCCTCCGGCGTCAAGGAGTACACAGTCCGCGATGCCCTGAACGAGGCGCTTGCCGAGGAGCTCGAGCAGAACGACAAGGTCTTCATCCTGGGCGAGGAGGTTGCCCAGTATAATGGCGCATACAAGGTCACCAAGAACCTCCTGGACCGCTTCGGCGAGAAGCGTGTCATCGACACACCCATCACCGAGTCCGGCTTCGCCGGTCTGGCCATCGGTGCCGCCCTGAGCGGTCTGCACCCAGTTGTAAGTGCCTCACATTGCAGCAGCATCCCGCATCCCGCCTTTGCACCGCATCCCCCCACCACAAGCGCGCATCACCGTCACTGCACCACACCACCACCACCACCACAGCTTGTCAAAAAATGTCAATGCCAAACTCAATTAGCCCTACTACATACGCTAACAATGCCTTCTTCAATGTCTAGTGCGAGTTCATGACCTGGAACTTCGCCATGCAGGCCATCGACCAAATCGTCAACTCGGCCGCCAAGACCCTCTACATGTCGGGCGGCATCCAGCCCTGCAACATCACCTTCCGCGGACCCAACGGTTTTGCCGCCGGCGTCGGCGCCCAGCACTCCCAGGACTTCTCTGCTTGGTACGGGTCCATCCCCGGTCTCAAGGTCGTCTCCCCCTGGTCCGCCGAAGACGCCAAGGGCCTCCTCAAAGCTGCCATCCGCGACCCCAACCCCGTCGTCGTCCTCGAGAACGAGCTCATGTACGGCCAGTCCTTCCCCATGTCGGCCGAGGCTCAAAAGGACGACTTTGTCATCCCCTTTGGCAAGGCCAAGATTGAGCGCTCCGGCAAGGATTTGACTCTGGTCACCCTCTCCCGCTGCGTCGGGCAGTCCCTTGTTGCGGCTGAGAACCTTAAGAAGAAGTACGGTGTTGATGTCGAGGTTATCAACCTCCGGTCGATCAAGCCTCTTGATATCGAGACGATCATCAAGTCGCTCAAGAAGACGCACCGTCTGATGGCCGTCGAGTCTGGCTTCCCTGCTTTTGGCGTCAGTGCTGAGATTTTGGCGTTGACGATGGAGTATGGATTTGACTACTTGGACGCCCCCGCCGCCAGAGTCACTGGTGCTGATGTGCCCACGCCGTATGCCCAGGGCCTGGAGGAGATGAGTTTCCCTACTGAGGGGACGATTGAGCAGCAGGCCGTTAAGCTTCTTCGCCTTTAAATCGATCCCTCGGATACAATTTTTTTAGAATAGGGGAGGACACGATAGGTGTAAGTGGCTAATTGCAAGGGTGACTAAGGGGCGGGATGGTCGGAACAGGTACAGGAAACACACACAGCAAACCAGGAATGCAAAAAAGCCATGAAGATTTTAGAGTTTTCTCTCCAAAGTTTTGCGTTCTCCTTTTTTCTTGTCTTTGGTTCTTTCTTGTTTGCTTCCCCATCATACATAACGGACGGTCTCGTTGGATTCATTGGTTTGGTGTGAAAGGAAACTGGTGAAATAATCGGCGAAATAGACAGGCTTTTTCCCTCTGGGGGAAAAAAAAAGAAATGTTTATTTTTATGTTTGTACATGTGCTCAGTATTTTGTTTTTGTTTTGGATCATGTTGAATGTGTTCACGCCTTGATGCCCATGCCAGTCACAAAGAATGCTATTCAACGCAACGTCGAAGTATATACATAGAACCCATCATCAAAACATCTCTCCAAGAATTGAATCTCTATAATCCCCTCCCCAAAATGGCTCTCATTGTTCCCAGTTACCATGTCATACATATCTATCATTGATCTGGCTTTCGTGGGGAATATCTCCTCCCCTCCTTCCCTTTCCCTTGAGCGAGAGTGAACAAAAAGAGTAACAAATAGCCATCCAACTAACCACCACCCCTCTCGGCCAAAATTACAAGACATACTACTCAACAGAAAAATAACATGAATGAGAAAACCCTCTAGCCGAACTTGAAACCGTTGCTACAAGGTCCCCTTGCCGCAGAGGCACCCTTCTTCGCGTTATCCTCCTTAAAAGTGATCACGTTCGCCTGACCCCTCGGGCACTTGTCCTTATCCTTTGCCTCGTCGAAAATGCCCTCCTTGAGAGAAAAAAGCGTGCAGGGTGTGAAGTCGATGCCGGTATGTAACCAGCCGGCACAATTCGAAGCTTTGAAGCAAGCATTGCAGCAGAGTTCCGCCGTGGTGGCAGAATCAAATCCTTGCTCCCAGTTCGTCGTACCATCGACTTGGATGCTGTAGATGCCGACGTCTTTGAGAAATGAATCCGAGTCTTTGCAAAAGTTGTCGAGATTCTGTGACTCCCCAGTGTCAGCTTTTTGAAAGGCAGATGTTCCTGAAGAGATGAGTACTTACTGTTGGGCTTGGTCGAGCTGGTGATGATGATGATGTCGTTGAAGACGATGTTGAGGCGCCACTGCTTGTGCTGTTGGCAGCGCCAGAGGTCGACTGAGTACCACTGAGAACACCATGTTAGCAGGTCGAACAAATAATGCAACCCGAGAAACTGTTTGCTTACGCTGTCCCGGTGAGAACACCCATCGCTCCCAGAATCGCAAGAACAACCGCAAGGATGCCGAGAACAGTAACGGTGGCGATGAGCCATTGAAGATGGGTGAGCTTTCTGTACCAGGGTTTCTCGTAGGGCGGTACCCAGACCGCTTCCCTCATGACGGATCCCTTAGACCCGACAGTGTCGGGACGATGATGTGAAATATTCCCCTGGTAATCCATGCTGGCACTGGTATCTTGAGTGCCGTCGAGACTCTCAGGTCTTGGCCCCGCTCTGGTCGTTGCTCCAATTCCCCCCGTAACTCCGGCCGTTCCTGCTTCTAGCGCACCGGGGTCGTCGTTCTTGGTACCAGGGTTGTGAACGATAAACTCTGGAAGCGGATTGGACCAAGTTTCGGCGTACTGGTAATCTTGACCGTAGGCTTTGAACTCTTTCCGAGGCGGCGGTGGTGGCGGCGGTGGTGGCGGCGGTGATCTGGTTATGGGCGAGTCTAAGATGTCTGAGACAGGTCGGTCTCCTCGGCCAGGACTTCCTGAGGGTGATGGGATCATGTTATTTGGATTCCAAGTGGTGACTGGTTCGTTGGTCAGTTGGCAAGTCTTGCGTCCATATATCAGACGGGTATGATGAGGTGCGAGTGTACAAGCCAGGAGGGGGAGGGGGTCATCGGCGTGCAGATCGATAATAGTGAGTTACAGAAAGTCGAGCAACATGATGAAACTGACCGGGAAGGTAGTTACGCGGGAGATTTGGGGGGTGAAGAAGATCGGGCAGGGAAATGGGTCCACTTACTTTGTGTGTGCTGTTCGGGTGGCCGCTGACGAGAGGCACTGGTGACACAGGGAACTGACAGCAGTCTCTAATGCAAGCAGAAGTGAGGCAGTCTTGGTGAGGAGGGCGAAATCGAGATGATGCAGGAGACTTGCAGCTACCCGCGCTGCAGAGGAGATATCGTCAACCTGGCTTGGTTGTGAGTGAAAAGAACTGGTTCCGGAAGACGTTTAAGTTGGCGACAAAATCAGATGAAAAGTTCCTGGATGAAACAAGATCCCCCAGCCGCTGGCAAATAGATCTCGTCGACAGAGAAGCCAGACCGCCAGACTTGAAAAGACGGGCAGGTGGCGGGTGTGTACTGTCTTGGTTGTGAGACGCTTCGTTGCACCGGCCGTATGGCAACTTGTTGAGATGGTAATACCCTCGGCAGCACCCAGTAGCCTTGAAAGACCAGGGGTACAATAACAGAAGCAGAGTGACTGGGTCTTGAAGAAGGCGCTCCTCGGGATGTCTCCCGAACGGTTGTGTCATGGTGGTGCAAACAGGTGATGAATCCCAAACCCATTATTCTGTGCCAATTGACAGGGACGTCGCAGACAAACGCGCGCCTTGGCCGGGCATTCCGTACCTACAAAGCTCCGCCATCTTGGGGACGTCATACCCGGTGGCCTCAAGATCAGGGGGAAGGAACGAAGGAGCAACATTCCAACTGATGGTAGGAAGGAGCAGTTGGCTGGGCGGAATGTCAACACGAACCCTGCACGTGGAGAACACTTAAACGAGCTCGTGTAAGCCACGTCAGCTCCAACACGAGACAATTCGATGAATTCAACTTGTAATAGATCTATCTTGATAGAACTCGAAAGGTTCACGAAGTACCAAAAACCAAGTGATGCAAGTTGAGAGTTCTTCAAGATACGGCCCCGGGCTTCATGGTCGAAAAAAGGTTGCATGATCGCCCTGATTGACATACTACCCTTGGAACATGGAAACTCTTGTCTTTCTCTGAAACGTTGACAATCCCATCCTGAATCTAGGGCAGGTTACCCTTCCATCAATTTCACATGACAGCTGACACTTTTCGACAGAACTTGTGCATATTGGCAAGAGACATTCCCTTCAAATACCTCCAACCGCAGATCAACATCAATTCGACCATCCTAAGCCAACAGCCCACCAGAATCCGTCTCCGCCGCCGCTCCAGTCACGTTGCTGTCATTCATCAACCACAGATACGCCTCCGCAACATCTTCGCCCTTGGCGGGCACCCCCGTGAGCGTTGATTTGGCGACAGCTTTGGCCGTGGATGCCTTCTGCTCTTCCGTCCAGAGTTCTGTCTCGACATAGCCAGGTCGAACCACATTCGCCCTGATTGGCGCGAGATCAACAGCGAGCGCCTTGGCCAAAGTGGAGAGTCCGCCGCCATAATTACTCATCAGGGTCCACCCTTTCGCCGGCTTCTTTGTCGCAGAGCCGCTGGTGATGGTGATGCTGGAAGTGTTCTCCTTGGGCAGGTATCGAGATGCGACTTTACCAAGGATGATGGGAAGGACGAGGCGCATGTGAAATGCTGTGAGGACGGCCACCACCGACATGGTGGATGGTACCGTGGGTAGACTCGGCTTTCTTGAACAGGACATCAAGGTCGTCTTCCACCTTGGTTGGGTTGGAGAGGTCAGCGGGGAAGCCGACAATCGTGTCTGTTTGGGAGGGGTAGTCTGATTTCAGACGAGAAACGGCAGCATCAACTTTGGTCTGAGAAGAGGAGGAAATGGTGACCTTGGCTCCAGAAGCGAGAGAACCATCTGCCACGGCATAACCTATGCCTGAACTTCCTCCAAGGATGAGAACATGCTTGTTCTGGAGCTTGTTGTAAGCAGAAGGGGCCATTATGGAGAGCAGAAAGAGAATTCTGAAGGCAAGGTGAAGATGTGGATGTGAGATTGCCGAATTCTGCGCCTTGTTTCGAGCGTTTTATACCGTCAATTCATCAGGTATCTCATTTGTAGGCATGAGCAGTTGCGCTGACTGGAAAGTTGTTGATAAGTCCGGGACAAAAGCATACCCGACTTATCAGCGATACACCCTCACATCTCGAAATAGTCGGCAAACTTGCTGAGGTGAGGTAGATATGGCAACCAAACCGATGCTCCTAGAGTACAGTGTCAGCCCGGAGGAGCTTGTTTGGTCGACATCAGAGACTGATCTGGACATTAGAGTCTAAAAGCCGGCAACCCGATTCAGGACAAGCATTGGCATCAGACACCTGCATAGGTTGTGTTAGCTATATGTGTAGAAAGAACATTGACTAAAGATGCAGTGCTTCCCGCCGGCAGGCCCACCGAAACTGGGTCTGCCGAGTGCCCCGCTTTTGAGGCCCCCACACCTCCGCCGCGGGTGCCAAGCCAAATCCCGGCGAACTTGAACGGACGTCAAGCCGGCCCCGCTGGGCTCCTTCCACTCAACGGTTTTTTTCGCAAATATTTTCAAGGGTTGCCGCCCACCCCTCCGATCAACAACTCACCGTGGCTTGCTTGCCAAGAATCGATAATCAATTCTTGCGGGAGATAACAAGCCCCGCCAGAAGTCGTCTTTTTTTTTCTCTCTTGGCTTTCACCTCCTCAGAGCTGTTGAAGCATCAGCTTGATCTCACTCACCTCTATTCAAAACCAGAACAACTCACGACGAGAATTTGACCGTCTGTTGTTTTGCCCCTTGCCCCTCCAACATCTCACCGAATAACACATGTGCTTTTCCCGCTCCAAAGCGCCCCTCGACTTTCTCAGCTTCTCGACGCACTGGTTGATGCGTCGAGCCAAACATCAGTAACTTCACGGCAGGCGACTTTGAGTCTTTGCGCTTGCTCGAGGGGACGTAAGAAAGACTTATTCAGAGAAGATATACACTCTCTCTGCGTAATCTAAATTTAACTACACATATCAGACAGCCAAACCTTCAAGTGGAAGAGTACTACTACTTTTCTAGAACAAACAAGAGATTAAGACAAGATCATCATGTCTGAGAACAACAACGACAACAACGCCACCATTCACACGGCCGTCGAGCCTGTCATGGCCAAGACAGACGGCACCGGTGACTACGGGACAACCGCCCATGCCACCACCACCAGAATCAGTGTCGAGGGCCACACAACTGATAGCGACTCCGAGTCCGCCGCCGTGGCCGCTGGCCTCAAGCACCTCGAAAACCAGGAGGTCAAGTGGTACTCCTACCTCTTGACCGTCGACTTCTGGGCCATCATCGCTCTGGGTCAAATCCTGGCGCTGTGCATCACCGGCTCCAACACCTTCACCTCGTTCCTGAGCTCCGTCAACACCATCATCCCCGCCTTCCAGACCCTCTTCAACTACGCCCTGCTGACGATTGTCTACCTCCCATACACCATCTACAAGCATGGCTGGGCCAAATACCGCTCCATCCTGTGGCGCGACGGCTGGAAGTACTTCATCCTGTCGTTCTTTGACGTCCAGGGAAATTACTTCACTGTTTTGGCATACGAGTACACCAATATCCTGTCTGCCCAGCTCCTCAATTTCTGGGCCATCGTCTGCGTGGTCATCCTGTCATTTTTCTTCCTCAAGGTCAGATACAGACCCGTTCAAATCGCCGGTATCCTCATCTGCTGCGGCGGCATGGGTGTCCTCCTCGCCAGCGATCACATCAACGGCACCAACGGCGGCAACGGCAAGGACATGATCAAGGGCGATCTTTTTGGTCTGCTGGGGGCGACGCTCTACGGCATTACGAATGTCTACGAGGAGTGGTTTGTTTCCAAAAGGCCAATGTACGAGGTTCTTTCGTTCCTGGGCATTTTCGGGGTGTGCATCAACGGGGTGCAGGCGGCTATTTTTGATCGGAGCAGCTTTGCGGGCGCGACGTGGAACGGGGATGTGGCGGGGTGGTTGGTGGGTTATACGTTTTGCTTGTTCATTTTCTACTCGCTCGTTCCGCTGATCTTGCGGATGGGGAGTGCGGCGATTTTTGATGTGAACCTGCTGACGGCCAACTTTTGGGGTGTGATTATCGGGACGAGGGTGTTTGGGTATACCATTCACTGGATGTACCCGATTGCGTTTGTGTTGATCATCTTTGGGATGGTGGTGTACTTTTTGGCGGGGACGATTTTGGGGGATTCGAAGAAACCGTGGTTGGGGGATAACCAGAAGGATGGCGTGGCTGGGCTGGGGACGGCCAAGTTGAAGGCGTTGAATGAGGCGAGGAGGAAGGGGTTGGCGAGGGAGGAGGAGGTTGCTGGGGAGGCTTAGGGGGGTTGTGGACGGATGATGGAGAAGGGGGACGTTCGGGGGGAGCTGTGTGCACATACGGAGGGGTAATGTTGCACATGTTGCCAGCGCATCTCGGTGCTGCTGATGTATATTCTCTTCGTTTGAGCTCCTCGTGGAACTCTTGGCTGTTCTTACTCAGGGGTTCAAGATTCACAGAAAAGGGGCTGTCGAAGGGGTGTAAGTGCCAGGGTTAGGGTATAAATGATTGGCAAACGGGCAATCCGCCTCCAGTATCTATTGCGCATTAATAAACCCCGCTTATTCCTTTCACCTTGAGCTGTTACTCACGTGCAGATCCCAATGCGAACCGTTCGGGAATTACACGTTACCCATCACTGCTGTCCCTTTACACTCATCCTAACTCACTCACTCCATACCTACCCACAGCCCTCCACTTAAGAGGACCAGATCAACACCCCCTCACCACACCCATTACTATCATCCCCCAAACAAAACAACAATGTCAACAACAACCGCCCCCCACAAACTCTACTTTGGCTACGGCTCCAACCTCTGGCTGGACCAAATGTCCCGCCGCTGCCCCTCCTCCCCTTACCTAGGGATAGGACGTCTCCGCCAGCACAAATGGTTCATCAACTCGCGCGGCTACGCCAACATCGCCCACGTCCCGACACCCTCGCCCCCTTCTGAAGTCTGGGGTTTGATCTACGCCCTCACACCCGAAGACGAAGAGATGCTGGACATCAACGAGGGAGTCCCCTACGCCTATGAGAAGAGTGAACTAACAATCGAGATTTGGGAACGGGATGGGGACAAACAGGGAAAGGGGGAGGAGAGGGAGGCGTTAGTTTACATTGACTTTGAGAGGGACAAGGGGGGGTTTAAACCGAGGGAGGAGTATATTGTTAGGATGAACAGGGGGATTGATGATGCGCTGAGGGAGGGGGTGCCGAGCAGTTATGTGGAGGGGGTGTTGAGGGGGTATATCCCTGCCGAGGAGCAAGACGAAGAGGTTGAGAAGCTTGCTGAACGGCAGGCGGGTGGGTTTAAAGATGAGAGCGGGGTTATACCGGCGAGGGTGGCGGCTGAGGCGGTGGGGTCGGGGGTTGATCTCGTCAGCAATGTGAAAGGCGTTGGGGAGGTTTTGGATGGGAAGGAATAGTGAGTGATGGTTGGTGAAAAAGGAAGGGTGTAGGAAAGGGAGTAGCAAAACAAAAAGATGTTTTGCCCACTATCAGAATCGAACTGATGACCTTGTCATTGTCCTTGTGTGTTGAAGACAAGGTGGGTTTGGCTTTTTACTAGTGACACGCTCTACCACTGAGCCAAGCGGGCTGGGTTTGGGAGGTTAAGTGTGTGTCGGGGGTGTGGATGAGCACTTATGAGGCACGATGTGGACAGGAAATAGAGATGGCGTTAACAACCTCGACGTGCTCCAGGGACGCTACCGACGCCGCATTCACCACATTGAAGCATAAACCACACAACGTTTTGAATGTCAGTTCCCCTGTCCGCATTCCTGATCTGGCCCCATCACACGCTGTGGACAAATACAGAGACTGCGATATCTTCGAAGGCGTATTGACTGTCTTTTGAACCTTTCGACTTTTGCCGTGGTTGTTATGCGTAGCTGAACTTAACCATCGGTTCTCGCTTTTCTCACACGGTCACTTCCAGATCGCCCAGCCACTGCCGCATGGCTGAAAGCAGGACCTAAGGAGTAAGGAAGGAGAGAAAGAAAGAGCTCCTCAGCACCAGGTCTTAATTCCTGCTTCCTCCTCTTCCCACAATTGTAACAACAACAACAACATCATCATCATCATCATCATCATCATCATCATCACTCCCATCATTCCCATCATTCTCTTTTGGCTACTCACTCAATATCACTCTGCAGTATGAGCGGTGCTTCGAGCTCTAAATCCAGATATGCCTTCAGGCTCCGCCATCAGACTCCCTACCTCTCATGGTACCAGCACTCAACCCAAGCCACGCACGTCTACGAAATGCTTAACTACTTACCCAAGAACACACTCCAAATATTGGAAATAGGCTGCGGCATGGGCGCCGTCACGGACTGTTTAGCACAACACATCAAGTCTCGAAATGGTCACATTGACGCTCTCGATCCCGCACCTGACTCGTATGTGTGCTCGCTGGAGCGGTACGTGCAAGATACCGAAAACTTCTACCCCTCTCCGTGGACTCTGGGTGATCATCAGCACGCCGTGTCTCAACGGAATCCCAACACGGTCACCTTCCACAATGCGGACGCGATCAAGTTCCTCGACGACGGAGACGACAAGGACAAGAAGTGGGATGTGGCGGTGTTTTTCCATTCCGTCTGGTACTTGGACTCGGTGGACGTCCTGAAGAACACACTTGAGAAGTTGAAGGGGAGGGTGAAGAGGGTTTTTGTTGTCGAGCATGCGCTACGTGCCACGAACAAGTATGCACGGTCGCATGTGTTCGCCGCGCTTGCGATGGCTGCAGTTGGGGAGGAGAGGCAGAAGAAGGGCGTGGACACCAGGGGCCACGTGACGTTTTTGGGCACTCCTCCAAAGATAAAAAAGGCCATGGAGGAGACCGGGTGGGCGTTGGAAAAGGAGGCGGAGACGGTGCCGGATGGAGAGTTGATCGATGGAGTTGTCGATGTCACATGGGCTCGTTCAACCCAATTTAGGGAGCAGTTCAATGAGCTGGGACTGCAAGGCACCAAGAAGGAGGGTTTGGTGCAGGCTCTGCTGAACGCGGCTACTCAAGAGCTGGTTCTCGATGATAGGCGGAGGATGAGCCGGTGCGGTGATGACACTATTCCCCACGCCTGTGCCATGGATGTTTGGGTGGCGAATTTTGTGTTGGAGAAAGAGGAAGAGAAGTAGTTGGAAGTCTGAGAACTGGAATAGTTGGTCTATAGCGAAGCCTCAGTTGTGTCTTAATTTCACAGTCTCGCTCCACCTCTCCTATCTTGGAGCCATGCCAAGTTGCGACAGAACATTGTGTCAAGGGCTTAAAGTATCATTGATATGGCTTCAAAGAGAGTGAGTACACCTACAGAGATAGGTATGAGGTCTTTAAAGAAAAGAAACAGACCCTTACATCTATATTAATAACCAGGCCTCTGAAGACAGTCAAAAGGCCTTACTCTTTTTGAATAGGTCTTAAAATGTAACCAATAAGCGTGAGAATATAACGAAGAGATGTTTGAATAATGGTTGAAGGTATTACAAGATAAGGTAGTTAGGGAATAAGCATGTGTTAAATACAACTACTAGGCGTCAAGAGACAAATTTCATGTGAATTTGACGATTAAGCCTTCGAATATAGCCCATAAGCCTTTTAAAGGAGGTAATCTCTATCATTTTATTCACGACGTGGTACCCAACACTGAAACCGACCTGTCTCACCAAACCCTAACCCACACCGAACACAAGTTCTTCCAGTCCGCCGTTATCCTCGTTCAAACTCCTGCATATTCCCTTGTTTATTTCCACCTCAAAATCTCCGATACCTGCAAAGTGATATTCTGTTGGTTCATCTCCAAACCCTGCCAGGGCTGATACTTTACTCTTCCAGGGCATTCGACACCGTCACACCTTGTCAATGCAAGGGCGTGGTAGACTGCCTAGACTTGCTTTCTTATCTCAATGCCACAGGTCCCTGTACGCATCGCTTTCAGTGAATAAAAACCGGCTTGCAGCCATCTCAAACATCACATCAATATCTCATCACAACTTACCCACCTACCACTTCCAGATCTGCTCTTTCAGGGTATCAGCCTACAGAATGGTCACTCCCCCCTCATCCTCCCCTCCATCAACTCACTAACACCCCTCTTTGCAGTCCACCCCACCACCACCAACCCAACTCCTCTTCCACCACAACGCCTCCCTCGCAACCCACACAACAACCCTCCTCACCATCACCCCCTTTTCCTCCCTCCCCGCCCCTGACCAATCCCTCTTCAAATCCCCCCCAACCAACGCCTTCGTCCTCACCTTCCCCTCAACAATCTTCCACCCGCAGGGAGGTGGCCAGCCCTCAGACGAAGGCCACATAACCCTCACCTCACCCCCCTCGGTAGCCTTCTCCGTCATCTCCGCCCGCCATTCAATCACCAACCCCTCACAAGTCCTCCACCTAGGCTTTTTTGCCCCTTCTGTCCCCCCACCTGATGAACAGCCACTATTCACCCCAGGAGACCAAATCACCCAAACCATCAACGCCAACCTAAGAAACTACCACTCCCGCCTCCACACAGCCGGTCACGTCCTCGGCTCCGCAGTCCGGCACCTCCTCGAGTCCCAAATCGAAGACTTTGACGAGCTAAAGGCTTCGCATTTCCCAGACTCGGCAGCGTGTGAGTTTAGGGGGTTGATAGACTCTAAATGGAAGGAGCCGATCCAGGAGAAAGTCAATGAGCTTTTGGCCGCGAAGATGCCGGTTGAGGTTGAGTGGTGGGATGAGGAGGATTTCAGACGGGAGGGGTTGGAGAGGTTGATACCCCGGGGGAAAAATGGGGAGCTGGTAAAGCCGGAGAACACGGACGGGGGGAGGTGGAGGGTTGTGAGGATTGTTGGGGCGGAGGTGTATCCCTGTGGGGGGACTCATGTGGAAAGGACGGACCTGTGCGGGGAGGTGAGGGTGAGGAAGGTGGGGAGGGGGAAGGGGTGTTCGAGGGTTGGGTATGGGGTTGTTCCGGGGTTGGAGGGGTGAGGATGGGCGTGGTGGTGGTCTGGTGGCGTGATGCTAGGGGGTTGGTGTTCTGCAAAGCCCGGAGCGGGACCGGGAGGCGGGCCGCTCCGTTGTTGGTATGTGAACCGAGGTTCGGTGAGATTCTTGCCCGGCCGGCAAGACCAACCATCTCATCTGGTTTGAGTCAATATCTACCTATCTGCCTCGGGCGTTCACATTTAGACTGGAGAAAATTTCAGCTCTTGACAGGAACCATCTGTGTCACCTTGGCCCCCAAAGTTCCAACCCCCCACCAGACGAACACGAGCTGTTTGCTGGCCATTGTCATACTTGCCTGATATGGAAACCGGGAGACCGGAGACATTTGCGTGTCGTATTGCTCTGTTGACAGTTGCCGCCGCTTCCTTGATTGGTGTTTTACGGAGATCATGTAGATCAAACACCATCTCGGGCATCGACCATGGACTTCGATGCCATGTGGCTGTTGTATACCCACGTTCAGGGCACAGTAGGTTGACTGACGAGGTCGTGCTGCCCCGACAACTGGTATGACTGGGACGCAGTAGCATAGGTGTTCATGTGTCCCAGTTCCGGATGAGTTGGCTATGCGATCCCGAAGCATAGATACATCTAGAAGCACACGGGAAGCTTCGTGGTTGATGCCCATCACGATTCAAGATTTGCAATACCAGAGCAAAGCTCATACATGCCAGATATAGAGCCGACCACGCGACCACGCGACCACGCGACCACGCCGGTCCTCGGCCTTTGAGGCAAGTGTAACTGATCCATTTCGATATGATGCCAAAAGTCAACAACGTCAAAGCGGTCCGTATCGACGACCTAGCCAATAGGCATGTGACACTGCGGGGTTGCTGCAGAAGAGTTCCAAGTCCTTGTTTGACGGCGTGCAGAGAACCATCTGCACGGAAGCTTTTGGAAGGCAGCCAGGCTGACTGTGCAAGAATGGCCTTCCGCTCTCGGGGAGCGTGGCCGATGAGGCCCAAACCAGACCGTCTAAACGCCGAAGAAACCGTGACCTGGCCGTCCCCCCGTTGGTGATATGAGCGAAATAGCAGTAAAGGACGGCATGCTGAGTGGCCAGACCCGGTCGATTCCGTAACGGTATTGGGCGAGCTTGGGGGGAAATATATGCTGTGCCTGTCTGGTGATGTCTTAAGTATTCCATGGCGGCATTGTCTGAGAACGGTGTAGAAATGTCTCTCGTCTTCCCCGAAGCTACACCCCACGCTTATCCTCAACATCTTGGAGCGGGCAGTTACGATGAATCCCACAACGGGACTCGGGCCTATAGTTGGCGCGTTAAATGGAGCGGTGGGTCGTCAAACCATTTCATGACATTGGTCAATAGAACGTGATGACTTTCTATGGCCGTGATGCACATGTCGTGCGACGGATGCGAGTGATGCATTCCCCCCTCACACCATCTGTTTGCCTGGGCGACTGTGAACTTGGCGCATATTGGCCACAGCCATCGTTTCCTGGATAATTGTCAGCAAAGCTTGCTGAGTTTCTAAAAAACCGCCGCGTACAGCGCGCCTTGGGAGAAATTCAAATCGGCCCGCTAGGGATTCTCGGGATTCTTCTACGTAACATAGCAGTTCATACAGACGATTTCTGCCTGGTCGGTTTGTGGTGAGGAAGTTGAAGTTTGTTGGGAGTCATGTCAGCAGTGGCTGTGTGGTCGTTCTACAAATGTCTGCCTCCAGAGGTTAGATACCTGATGTCAAAGATCCCAACACAGCAGCTCCTTCGGACAAGCTCCCAGTACCATTGGCAAACCAGGCCACAGGAGATTCCGGCGAGCTTAGTCAGTCCCGGCTTTGGGAAGCTCAAGTGTTAATATGAAGTTGCAGCTGTCAACTGATAGATTTTAAGTTGCTGTTGTGGAAGGCGGTTATTGTTTGAGCCCATTGCCATTTTTATCAAATATCAAGCCTAGCCAGTCCATAGTGCAGAGGACTACTGCAGAGATGTACCGGGTAAGAAAGCTTCCGGACAGGCTGTACATGTCGATAGGGCTTCCAAAGTCTGTCAATCCGATGCCGCTCTGTATAGCATTCCAAATGAAGTTGAAGTTAGGGAAAGCTGGCGGGTCGATCTTGTCCGAACTCTGAACTACCCCTCACTCAACCCCACACTTTTCCATGAAAGTCGGCATAAAAAAAGTCCACATGCCGCTGTCTGAAGCTTTCGAAACGCCTTTGCAACGTAACGCCGATGCAGAGCAGAGCAGAGCAGAGACAGACTGAATATGGCTCCGGTACAGAACCCGAAGAAGCCGAAAACAATAACAAAAAGGCCCGGATACAGACTGGCGAAGAGACAGACATAATATAGGAGACAAGAAGGTAGCAGTACCAGGCCCCTATAATCATACCCGATTACCAAGATCCAAACAGACCCCTGCGGAGGCGCTAGGGAGCCATTCCTAGTGTAGGGTCCGCAACGTTCACCACTCTGCTGGGAACTCCTTCCCGAGAGTGGGAACGAGAACAGTGGGAAGTGTTGAAGACGGGGACCATATGACACCGCATTTCGCAATCGCGCCCGGACTATTTATTAGGTAATTGGGACATTTTAGATTGTAGAACATCAAGGCATCGCAAGAGATGGGGACTTCGACGATTGATACCGGCTGTCATGTTGTCAGCGCTCATCGTGTTGCGAAGCCAGATCGTCCATTGGCTCATGGTTTGGGACAGCAAGTTCTTCTTCAACAAAGTTCTTCAAAAGCTCTTCCCGGACGGCATCGACCGCCGGCTTCCCCTATTCGCGGTGCGGCCTTCCCTTTTCGGGGACTGAAGCAGTGACGCTATCACGGGGAGGTATCGGGTGCCCACCTTGGTTTGTGCCGAACCCGCTTGGCCAAGGTCCCGGGTTCATTGGAGTTGATGCGTCTCTCGATTTCTCAAATCAGCCTCGGCGTGCCAATGACGGACCTTCTTGACACTTTGTTGCAACAGCCTTTGTGTCACCTCTCGGTTCACATGCAATTAGGCTTGTGGGAGCAGGAGATGATTGGGGGCCCATTCAAGCAGAAGAAAGAAAGAAAGAGTGCGCAGTGCCCAAGGTTGATATCAAAGTAGAAAAGAGAGGCGAACGGCGGATGCTCTTCTCGGCAGATCTCAGATGGGAGAACCTTGAAGATTCGATGGATTGGAATTCGGTTGCAAAAGCGTGCAAACCTTCCGAGAGCCACCGAGGCCAGTCCCATGGATTCGACCCCCATCACGAAAAGCTCGGTATGTGACCATGGTTACAACTGATAGACATTGCCGATGTTTCGCTCATGAAAACTGGCGTGACTTTCTCATCGTCGTCATTTCCGTTCTCCGTTATCGCGTTTCGATGGTGGAAGCCTTTCCCAGGCCACCCTGGACATCGGGACATCGTTAGCGTTCTTCTGCAGAAAGTGACAACCAGCGTGTGGCGCCCCTCCAGCTTTCATCCCAAAGGATACTCTCCAAAGTAGTTTCCAGTTTGTTGGTTGAGCAGTCAGTCCTGTAAGGCAGGGCAGATTTTGCTGAAGAAGGCAGTGGCCTGGGCTAGCTTTAGGTGGTGGATGACATGACATGTAAGGTACCTTGTTAGGTGACATGCTACATACAGACCTTTGAGCTGCCTGACCATCCCAGCAGGCAGCTTGCAGAACTGCGGAATCATTCCTATTCCTTCTGCTTGATGACTGCTTCTCAAGCAAACTACCTACCTATTGATATAAAATACTCTGAAAAGGGGGATAATCACTGGACAAGGCCCCTGCCACCCACGTCAGGCCGATCGACCCACGTCCCGCTGTCCTTTGCGCCGGGGCCCAAGAACCTCCATCTCCCCGGTCTTTTCATCCTAACGCAACCCTCCACTCTCAGCCAGCGACTAAAATTACCTGGCGCGTTGGGGTGCGTGCGACCTTTTTTTTTCTCTTTCCCTCTCCTCCTCCTCTTCGGGGCTCTGTTGAGTGTTGTTGCCACTTGCCAACAGTTTTGAATCACACCGGGACCTTTCAGCGAAAGGTGCGAGTTGACTTTTTTTTCCTCTGGTGAGTGCCTTGTGTTGTCTGTGTTGTGTTTGTCGAGTCGACTTGTCATGCGGTGAGGAGAGGTGGGTGGGTTATTCCTACCTGCCTTACCTTGGGATTGGGCTGAGCTGGCGGGCGGCCTGAGGCGTTGTGTGTGTGTCTCCACGCTGTCTGGCTCTGTGTGGTGTCTGATCACTCAACTGGTCACCGGTTGCGAGTGTCTGGTTGTACGGCAAAGGCCGTCAGTCGAAAGAGGAAGCGACCGTCGGTCGGGGGCGGCAATCGAATTTTTCTCACCCTGACGGCTCGACAGCTGCGCAAGTCGCGCTTCACCTTCTCCTTGACGAAGGAACAACGCCCGAAGCTTCTTTTTTTTTTATGTGTGTGTGTGTGTGTTTGGCTGCTGGGGCACTCGTGTACTTTTTTGGAACTCGTCGCCCGCCTCCCGAACCTTGTTTCTTGGTTTCTTGATTGTTTACACGGTCTTGCGAAATATTAATCTCTGACTGACACTGACTGGAAAACCGTTGCAGAGTCAATCCCTGATCGGACTCCGTCACTTTCTCTCCGGCTTGTTTTGCTGCGACCTTTGGGCCCAGAACCTCTGATCAAAACACCATCTCGACACCATGGCGGCATACTACGAGAATTCGCAATCGCAATGGCCTCCCGCTCCTCCTCCTCAGGTCGGTGGCGGCTGGGATCACCAGACCCCTCCTCCCGCGCGGTCCGGTATGTCGCTCACCCTTTTGGGCTTCGATTGTTAATAGACGTCGTTCCTTTTGCTGATAACACAACTCCCATGCAGGTGCTAGTTCGGTCATCCCCCGCGAGGAGCCTGCGGCGTTTTCCCACCAGCTCGAGGGTATGTTTGAAACCTGCACTTTTCTACCGCCGATTTATACTTTACCATCACGAATACATCCGAACCCAACCCATCCAACAAGAACAACATGCTGTTGTGGCTGGAAACGGTGGAATGTTTGATGGAAAATAGGGGCTTGGGGCAATATCCACTGACATTGATGCTGTGCAGAGGTTGACCGTGCCATCGACAACCTGCTCAAGAGCGGGAAGATGTATGGAGCGCCTGGCGTGGGTGGTCGTCGTGAGTTTGTTCCTCCTAACATGATTGCTGCACCCAGGAGATACCCAGGCTTCGGTGAGTATAGTCTGGGGCTGGCCGGGCCAGTGCTGATGAGCCCCGACCCACTGACATTTGAATCATCCAGATCCCCGTGCTCCCGGCGGTGGCCCCGGATCCCGTCCCCACTCCGTGGCCGACTTTGGTGATGTCCGCGGGGGTCCTCCTCACCAGAACCCGACCAACCTGCAGAACTTCTACGCATCGCAGCGGCACCAGACCTCGCGCGGCTCGAACGAGGCGGAGCAGATGATGCAGGCCAAGAGGAGAATGGCTGCTCAGCGGGAGCGTGAGCTTCGTAATTACCATCAGGAGCAGCAATACAACCGGAGTAGGCCGCCCTCTTCTGTATAGCATCAGAAACCTTCCTACCATATCACACCAAAGACAAAACAAAAAAAAAATCAGAAAAAAACAAAATAGAAGCGCTTGGCACCTTTTTTGGGGCTTCATCCGCTTCTGTCCCCAAACTGTGTTGTGCCACAAGTGCGGTTCGACGCCACATGGTCCTGTGCTTCCTAAACTGTGTATACGAGGATGTTTTGGGGCGGATCTCCCTGTCTACACTTATTTTTCCTAACTGTTCCTTCCCGGCAAGATCCATTTTGGGAGACTATAAGCTAACGCCAACTTTTCCTCTAGCTGCCATCGTCGATCCTGCTGGGTTTAACAAGCCCGACCGCACCTTGAGCCCAAACAGCCTGCCTGAGGAAGAGCGCCGGAAGCTTATTGCTCAACAACGCCAGGCACTGTACGGCGAGGGTGAATTTCCTGGTGGCCCCCCTCCTCCCCAGGCTCGCGGCTTCTATGGCGGGGGTCCCATGTATGATTCTGGCCGTGCTTCTTTGGGCCAGATTGATCCCAGCGCCCAGGGTCCTTTGGAGGGCGGACAGGGACTTGCATCTGCCGGAGGCAACGACCAGGCACGCGCCAACAGCAACTCGAGCCCTCAGTCGAACCCCGGCGGTGGAGGAAAGGGTATGTACGACGCCCCTCTGGCTCAGCAAACGACTCGCACCAGCGCTTCTTCTCCCGGAGGGTCCCCGCCTCGCCAGGCCTCTCAGGGCGGCAAGCCCGGCCAGGGGTCTGTTGCTCCCATTGGGACTCGCCCTTCGGTGAGCGGCGGATCGCCGTCGAACCCGGTTTTGAACAAACGGTCGACGACTCCGTTGCCTTCGCCTTTGAGCCAAGGTTACAGTGTTGGGGGTGCTGAGGATAACGGGGCGGCCCTTGCTCCTGCCTCGGCCACGGCTGAGACTGCTGGGAATGTTGGGCTGGGCGGCTGGGGTGGCGGTCGTGGTGGTTGGGGCAATAGCAAGCCCCAGGCTAGCGTCTGGGGTTAATCAGGTGGTGGAAGATTTTTTACCATACAAACTGCCCTGCAACCAACACAACATTTAGGTTTTTCTGATGGAGTCAGTCTAGGCGGGGATTTTTGTGCAGCTATACACGCACAGCGACAACAACAACAACAACTACAACAACAATAACGCAGGACGGCGGATTGGGGGTACGATCATGAGGCGCTTTTTCGCTGGTCAAATGGGTTTTAAAAAAGGTGGAGATCAAGACATTTGGTGTTTTATGGTACTTGGCGTGGGGCAATTGGGCATTGTTATATGGGGAATCTGGCGGGAGTCGCGTCAAGGGTTACTTTTTGGGTTGCACAGCAAACATCAAGGGGGGGTGGTTGATGGATGGGTTTTGGTGGAAGGCTGATTGTGGGGTTTTGAAGGTGGGGGAAAACAAAAAAGAGGAGGAAATTGGGATTTTTGTTTCTGTTTTGTTTTGTTGCGTTTTCTGCATTGCTGGTGTGTTGGTGGTTGGTTCGGTTTGGGTGGGTGGGGGGAGGGGGGGGTAGGTATTTGGAAGGGTGTTAAGAGGAGGACGGAACAAGAACAAATGCACATGGGGGGATTGGGGGTCGGGATTGGTGGGAGGTTAAGGCGGTGGTGTTATTCTTGGGATTTGTTTTTCCTAGTCTTGAGGGAAAGTGGGGGGTTATTACATCTTTTATTTTTGCTTTTGCATGGAGGGTAAAGACATGCCTGAGGGGAAAAACAAAAACTTATCTACTTTGTTATTATCATAGTTGGCTTCGAGAGAATTGCAAGCGGGTTTGTTTTTGAGTGTGGCTTTTGGTGTTGTTTGTGGTGAGGTTGTGTGGAGGAGGTTGAAGGGATAGTGGGCAGTGAGTGGTGGAGGGTGAGAAAAGGGTGGGTGGTGTATCTGTGAGCAGAATGTCGACCCGGACTCGCATAGGATCTATCGAGGTGGCACTTCTGCATTGAGATTCGCATCGGCCTACGCATCATGGATTTTTAACCGATCCAAGTAACTGACAGAGACAGCGGTGTCCTCGATCAGGGGACCGAGATTGCACTCCCAC